TTCAGAAACAACTTGACAACATTATAGTGGTTTCCAAACTTGAACTCATCAGTCCCTTCCCTTTGCCAAAATGCTCCCCACAGAAGGAGCGATGCTGTCTGACAGCACAGGGGCTGACTGTGCACACTTGACTGACTTCCTTGCTCTGCGTTCACCAGCTCTCACACCCGAGAACCCTGCACTCACACACTTGCCTCATTTCAGGCCAGAGTGTTCATCTGTTTTAATTCTTGTTAAGGAATATGTACGTAGTTGAAGTTTGGGTTTTTTGCGGGGAGGGACTCTCTTTAATCTGCTTGGATTTATAAGACATAAAAATATTTATTTTTATTATGCCCAAATAAAGGAGACAGCAAGAAATAGGCATTGGTAACTGTTTACTGAATCAGTAAGTTCCGTGTTCTGTGTTAGTTACTCATCTTCCAGCGTCCTACAGATAGTTTCACAGTGTTTTTCCATCCATCGTTGCATGTGGGTGTCTAGGCAATGGACATGGGTAGGCTCAGTGGTAGTGTTATTCTCATTATATAGATGAGGCAACTTTGGCAGGGCAGGCTGAGTGATGTCCCCCAGTTAGGGGGTAACTGAAATTCGCTTTTCTGAGCTGGCCGAGTGTTCTTGTGTCTATAGCAGGACCCTGAGCTGACCAGTTTCTGAATTTAAAATGGAGGGGAAAGGTTGGAGGTAGAGAGTTGGAAGAAGCAGCTCCAAGGGGTTGAGTGGAGGACCTTTATTCTTTTTCAAAGCTTCATAAGGCTGATTGAGGGCATAGCCTTGGGAAGACGGACAGCAGGCAACCATAACAGAGGCGATGCTCCCAGGACGTGGCTGCAGGCTGCCCACGTCACTCCAGCAGTTGCACTGTTCTCGGGATCGCATGTTATTTATCTACAATGAGTGTGTAAGACATAACTCCAAAATGTATTTGGTTGAAATTTATTTTCTGAACAGAGGACAGGGTCTCCCGGCTAGGGCTGTTTTGTTGTTTCTGGCTCTTCGTTTTAAAAGCCCGGAGTACCAGGCAGGCCGTTTACCATCTTCATCGATTCGTGCTTCTGGGCCTGAGTAAGCATGGGGACAGGAAAGGTCCAGGCAGGGTGGTTAAATTCTGTCTTCAACATCGTCAAAGGAATTGGGTTATAATCGGGGAGGCCCTGCTCCTCAAGCTCTGCTTATGCCATTGTGATGATCTCATCCCTTTTTGTTCGAGAAAAACCATCTGCAGGGTCATGTGACTTCCTACCCCGGGGCTAATTTTGTCATTATTCTTGCACGTTTCGGAATCCCTGTGGTTTGAGCCAAGCGTGGCCAAGCTGCTGTTCCCACTCTCCCTTTATTTATTCAAGCTCATCGCATGACGTCACAGCCCACCTCAGGGAGCACAGAGAGCACCAGGGGGAAAGTGAGGGGGCGTGGCAGAGCCTGTGCTCGCCCACTGTGCGCTCTCACTCGGCAGTCTCTGAGCTCCTACCGTGTGTACAGAGAAGCTGGGGGAACATGGACACAAAGCTCACAGGGTCCTCTCCCGGGGCAAAGAAAACTGGGTCCCAGGCTTCATCTGAGGGACGTCATTTCACTTAATTGGCCTCTTACTCCATAACCCTCTCTCCCGTCATTCTTTATGGCAGACTGATTTTTGTCAGAGCTTCAGGGCAAGGTCCAGGTCCCCATAAGTCCACAAACCTTGGAGCAGACTCAATTTACAAGCCCATAAACCTCCCAGCAAACTCAATTTACTGACCTGATCATCTTTTCTCCCGTTCTGTCTGCCCTGCCCCTGACGTACAAAATTTGCACCCACTTTTTCAATGCCTAAATAAAATGTACTTTAAAAAAATATTTACGGCTTGGCATCCAATCGAATGCCTTTGAAACTGCGCCCTGCGTAGGATATTTTAACTCCAGCGCTACCTCCTCCCTGGGCAGCCTGGCACCGAGCGGGTGGCTGGCTGCTCCTCCCCAGTGCTTAAAGCGCCTGGGGCTGCTGGTTTCGTCAGTCTGATCGAACACGCCGAGGGGGGCTCGCTATGTTTGCGCTGTATCCCCTCTTCTTTTTCAGGTCTTAGTAAACATTGGCAACCATTTCGATCTCGCCTCCAGTATATTTGTAGCCCCGAGAAAAGGGATTTATAGCTTCAGCTTCCACGTGGTCAAAGTGTACAATAGACAGACCATCCAGGTGGGTAGCCTTGGAAACTGGGCCCTTTCCAGCTTGGGTCACGGGTCCCCCATGGCCGCGGGCCCTGTCACCCCCCTCTGACCAGGCTGAGCACCTGCTGAGAGCCCTCAGGGTCAGGGCCCTGGGTGGGCTCGCGGGAAGGGTCGGGGGAGGGGACAGGTGTGCGGCAGCGGGGGCCCGCGCGGGCTGCTGAGCTGTACCCTCTGCGTCGCAGGTCAGTCTAATGCAGAATGGCTACCCAGTCATCTCAGCGTTCGCGGGAGACCAGGACGTCACCAGAGAGGCGGCCAGCAACGGCGTCCTACTGCTGATGGAGCGCGAGGACAAAGTTCACCTCAAGCTGGAGCGCGGCAACCTCATGGGGGGCTGGAAGTACTCCACGTTCTCGGGCTTCTTGGTGTTCCCCCTATAAGCGCGCAGCCTGGGGTGGCGGGGCCGCTGCCGCCTGGACCCAGAAACCCGCGCTCCCCGACACCTGGAACTTGCCAGAACAGGACCGCTCGCGTCCAGCCTCCGTCCGGCGGTGGTGGCCGCCGAACCCTCCCTCCTCCATCTCGTGTTTTCTCTGAGTGACAGCCACTCCTCGGGACCCTGGCCTCTGATCACTTTTCCACGACAAGGTCTTCGGGAGAAATGCAGTGATCCATCCGAGCAGTTCGCACCTGTGATCGTAAGGTGGACGTGCTGTCTCTTTACTGGGGCCGTTGACTCGTCTTCTTCTGTCTGGACGTTGTGTCGTGGTCCCACGAGACGAGACCTCGGGATGGCTGCAGGTCGCAGGCCGGGCTCAAAGCGAGAGCCCCGCAAGTCGCCGCCCGCCCTTGACACGTGCCCCCCGTGTCTGCTCAGCCTTCAGGAAGAGACCGGCTTGGCTTTCGTTCTGTTCCCCAGGTGGATGGGAGGACGCGGGAGGGGACTTGGGCCCCCGTCCAGAAGTGCTTTATCTGGAGAAGCAAATTTTGCACGATCGGACTGCCACTTCGGTTCTGTATTGTTTGTGTGTGTGCGTGTTATTTTTTTTTTTTCCTCTCTCTCTTTTTTTCTTTCCTCCAAACGCTTTACTTTTCCCCCAACACTCGGCTCTCCCTCACCCCTGCTTTTAACTTTTCGTGCTGGGGTGAGGGAGAGAGAAAATATATGTTGAATTCCTGGATGAGACCAAATGAAACGAAACAAAAAATACCTGTACGTTTTGTTCTGGATGAGACTGAACAACGCAAAAGGACCCGTCTATCGAAGGGAAAATGACACACGGACGGTTCCGCTTTTACTTTCCAAGGGTCGCTCTCAGAGGCACCTTTAGACCTAATAATCCGGATTTTTTCTTTTTTTCTTTTTTTTTAATTTACACTCTGGAATACTTTAAGAACCTGATGTCCCTGGGTGGCCTGAGAACGGGAGCTGCAATGACCACGTCTTCTAAACACGGTTTCGTTGCCAGGTGACCAGGTCCTCCGGCGGCAGGTTTTCGTGTATTTGGATCTGCGTAAGCACACGGGCATCAGGTGCTTCAAAGATGACAGGACCAGAGACGCTCCCTCAGGATGCTCGGCTGATCTGCCCGGGGAAGAAGGTGTTGACACTGCCCCGCCGGCACCTGGCTGGCGGGAAGTCACCGGAAGTCACAGCGATCCGAGATGCTGGCAGAAGCCCCGCCCCGGGAGCACGCGCACAAACCCTTTTTGCTTTGGCGCCTTGTTCCACGTTGTCATTAAAACGCCGCTGAGAGTCCATGGTGCAGGATGCGTATGTCAAGGAAATGTCGCTAATCCCAAAGCCGAGACCTCAGACCGGATGTTACTTTGTCCTTTGTGTAACAATGTAACCAAAATATTGATGATAAAAAGTTATAATTTATGATTCAGAATAAATGGGTTTGATGTCTGCCTTGTTCTCTGCCTCCACATCACCCTGCAACTCTAGACATGCGTGTAAGTACAGGCCCAGGGGCACAGAGGTGGGGGAAGTAAATCCATACTGTGCGTGTTTAAAAAATACACACACACACAGCTCCCTACGTGCAGATCTAGCGATGGGTCTAGATGGAGCTGCACATGTAATACACAACCATTCATATGTAATATTTTTCACCCAGGAAAGATTTTTGGGGAGATGATGTGAAAAAGACAGCATTCCAAAGGCTTTACGGATGGGCGCTCTGCTTTTACCAATCATTGATGTGGTACAAAGTCCAATCCAACATTTCCATCAGAGAAGAAGAACATGAAAGAGACCGATGCCTGAAAACGCATCCGTTGTTCCTGAGGACGGAGCAGCGTGGGCTTCTATTTTCAAAAGAGAACTGCAGTGAGGGTTATGGAAATGAAAGACCAGAGTTTGACTAAGGGCCCAAGATTCACTGGCCCTAGGTGAAGAGCGGAACAGGATGCAAAATGACATCTGAATTAAAATGCTGTTACCTATTGTGAGAGGGGGGGAAAAATCCAGAAACGTCAGCCAAAAGTCACTTGGGGCGTTTTGGCTCTGTGATTTGTAGAGACACTTCTGAGCGAGAGCATCGTTTATGAATGCTGATGACGTAAACCACAGGCGCGGCTGATGTTT